AACAAGAAGCTACTAGGAACAAGTGCCTTACTAGTAGGAACAAGAAGTTACTAGGAACAAGTGCCTTACTGGTAGTAACAAAAAGAATTTATTTGTTTTCATTTGATGGACCGAGAAGTCGACAGATCGACTCGTTCAGGTGGTGTCGTGGTTGGCCCCAATCTGGGGCTGGACCTGGTACATACACACGAAGCTGCCGCCCACCCAGAGAATATGGCTTTCTCAAAACAGAGTGAAGAACGTGCCAATTGCGATGCAACAGATGGAAGGCCCTCGCATCTCAAATGCACATTAGCAATGTGGTTTGTCTCACCAGGTTAAGTCAACTTTCCGTCAGTGGACACGCATGAACAACGCGCAGAACGAAAAGCGCAAGACTGGTCCTCTACAAACACCTTACAGTTGTCCCTTGCTGAGGTGTCCGAGATTGCGAATTTGGGCTTGGTCTTCCTGCTATTCATGATTGGCTAGATCCCCAAGTTTTTGTGACGAATCACCACTTGGCATTTCCTTCACCAAGCCTTGCTTCAGGCTTGGAGTTGGATGTGCACGAGATCCTTCGCGCCGCTCAGCACAGTCCAAACTAAACTAGCGACGGACTAATTTATTGGTTGACTTATTTAGTCACGGCATGACCCTAACCTATGTTGAGGGCTTCGTTTCTGTGGAAAACGATATGGTCCCCACCAAAAACGATAATCTTGTTAAGACGTAGTGGGTGCAAAGACGTTTGTGGTTACAATTATTGCATTTGCATGTTTATTTGAGCATATTTGAGCTAAACCGATGGGCACAACTGTTCACCAATGATAACCCCAGACAACTTCCCAAACGATAATCCAAACGATAAGCAAACGATAACCTAAATGGCACGCCAGTCACTCCGTAGACCTACTTCTCCACATTACTAGTGTTTGTTCATGGGCCGAGCTACTAAGTGCCCGCTTATGCCACAAGAACCCAAGTGCATAAATCACGTGCTGTGCCATTCCTGTGCAGAAAGCACTGTAAGCCTCTAATCTGAGGTTGTGAGTTATATTTTGTGTTTTAGTCTATGTGCCGGTATGCTATGCTAACTGCGGTTTGGAGAGACATTGGAGAACGATATGGGCCCCACCAAAAACGATAATCATGTCAAATGGTATTTGGCAACACAAGTAACTTTGTTCGCTGCTCAAATGATGTAGTTTAAATTCAGACATAATATGTAACATCATGCTTTGGTGTAATGATTGTACAGAGAAACAGCGATGTTCGGTTCCATTTTCCCGCCCAGATGGGTCGAGTCGTTTTGCTCACGGGCCTCTTCCAATTTCCAGTTTGCTTTGGAGCCCGGATCCTCAGACGGAAGGACCGTTGACTTCTTCGGAATTCTTCAAGGACGCTACGAACGGGGCTCCTGGCCTTACTACTAGTAACAAGTGCATCGCTGCTAGTAGTAGGAGCAATGTTCGCTATTAATTTGAATTAAATTCAAACAGCAAACATTGTTACTACTAGTAAGGCCCTTGTTACTAGTAGCGATGCACTTGTTCCTAGTACCTTCTTGTTACTACTAGTAAGGCACCTGTTACTACTAGCGTGGCACTTGTTTCTAGTAGCATCTTGTTACTACTAGTAAGGCACTTGTTACTAGTAGCGATGCACTTGTTCCTAGTAGCTTCTTGTTACTACTAGTAAGGCACCTGTTACTACTAGCGTGGCACTTGTTTCTAGTAGCATCTTGTTACTACTAGTAATGCACTTGTTACTAGTAGCGATGCACTTGTTCCTAGTAGCTTCTTGTTACTACTAGTAAGGCACCTGTTACTACTAGCGTGGCACTTG